CAGGTGCAAACCCCTAAAGGCTTGCAGGTGAATATTGTCTTATCAGGTTGACAGATTTACAGGTTTTCTGGAGATCTAGCAGCTTCTAAGGCTGTCAAGCATTTTCAACCTGCACTGCAGATGTGACATAATATGAAATGTCGCTGGTATATAAATGTGGGATTTGAACTTACATATGGAATCTGTGAAAAAGAAAACATTTGGGAGACAAAACTAACTGGAAACTGAATAGCATTTTTTATCATCAGTTTTTTTTCTGAGTTTGTACGTGAGAAGAGCAGAATAATAATCTAACTTAGACAGTGTTATGGTTACGCTTTGTGCAGTTTTCATGCTGCTCACTTGCTGGAGAGACTAGAGTGTCTGCAGGGTTGGCAAGGGGGCTTGAGCTTAAAGTAAAGGAACGAGAGCCAGCTTTAGAAAAAGTGGAACGCCTGCTGTGTCCAATCCCATCTCTCTGGTGGTGGGGTCAGTAGGGCATAAGGGAATCAGAGGGAGGAGATAGGCTGTGTGTCTCCAGAGTACTGGAGGAGTCCGGTTATATCTTCGCGCCCACCAGCAAAACTACAGATTTATGCAGTGCAAACACACTCTCTGTACACAAAGCCTCTGGCTAAGAGTTCACCAGCAAACTGCCTTTGCAACGGGGCACCGTGGGTTAACATGCCACCACTGTGCACCTTTTCTTTCATGTAAGCTGCTGAGAAAAAGGTAAGATGAAGAGGTCACATGCTTAGAGGGGAGAGAGAAATTTCAAGACATAGGGATGCATGAAGGAGGGGAATGAAAGCTGTTTGTCTCATGGGCCAAAGCTAGAGGCAAGGTGAAAAGCATCAAGATGCAGGTGCAAAACATGGCTACATTGTAAACAAGGTAGGCTTTTGCTAATGGCATAAACAAGAGTCATACAGGGGCTCACATAAACCTACCACATGGCCAGCAAGGGTTTGTAAATATGTTAGTTTTACCGGTGATTTATGACTAAAAGTCCACACCACTAACTTTTTCTTGAGTGTTTCTACCTACATAGACATAAACTTATTATTACATAAAAATTATGGCATAACTTTAATGGTATTGCTGTGCAAGATAAAATGAAAAGTACAGCAGGATAGTTAAAGCTTTAAGCCGTAAACTTTTGAGGCCGATGCTGTGCAAGTTAATGTTTTCAAAGGAGTTCATTCTATCGTGCGTTCATCCCGGCCTAATATCCTCAGATAATATCTGATGTGAGTTCCCTGATACCCTGATTTTGTTAGCGCTTGTGAAGCATGTAAAGTTGAACTTGGACTACCTTCAGGAAACCTGGACGAGATACAAAAAGGAATCAATTGTCTCTTTTTTCATTTGCTCCCACTTTACCTCTTTTTACTTCCCTTTCTCTGGTCTCATCAGTTACTTCGTTTTTCTTTTGTGGATAGCCGTGTTCATTTTGTTTTAACAAAAAATAAAAATCCAAAGCCAAAGGCGAGACCCACACTGTGTCTCTGTTGGATTGACTCTGTGTGCCTTCTGATAAACCTTTAATTCCCCAGTGGGTCTCTTTTTGTATCCTTCCAGAGATTTGTGGGGAGCTTGTTTTACTTGGTTTAATTTCCTCAGAACAAAGCTCATCTGATCTTCCCACCCAGACTTGTGTGTGGCATTAAGTCTTCATTTTCATTAATGTTGGAGGGGCAGCACGGGAATCTCATTTTAATTTGACATTTAAACATCTGTTTTCAATTTCCTGAGGAAAAGACTGTGTGTCTGCCTGTGAGTGTGTATGCGGACAGGGGACAGCTTGTGCGAGTGATGAACCTGTGGGTTTTTAGAGCTGAGAGCGGCCATTTCAGCTGACCTTTAAGGCAGGGGTTGGATTTAAGAAATGACGGCTGCTAATTGCATTAGCATCCACACAGTTCCAGCCTGCTACTGTGGAGCAGTACAGTAGAGTACGACCACATGGACCAAACAGACTTCAGAGATTTTCTTTTTTCTTTAGATCTAAAGATCTTTCCATGTATCTGTATGTGGTTTTCTTGTGCACCGTCAGTTTATGTTGAAGCATGTCCGACACATGGGATAATTAGGGTTTTGTTCTGACACTACAGAGGAGAGGAAATGCAAAGCAGAACAGATCACTTTACCTTGACAAAGCATACTGATATCTGTCCAGGCCCGGATATCCATCCTGTTCCATCCCATCATCAGCACATTTAAGCAAATCCAGGATGGACAAAGAGGCGTCTTCATGCTGGGACCTGTGACTTTGGCCCATTTCCACATATTAAGCTACAAACTGAAAATCTTTCCGTACACACACACACACACACTCACAGTTTGGCCTCCCTGTTAATAGCCCAGGAAATATTATCTGCTGGGGGACAGCTGCAGGCTCACGAGAGAGACAGAATGGTAGAGTAGGCTCATTATCCCAAACACAGATACAGACCACACCGCACACAAGCACACTTTGAGAGCATTTCGTCTTTTCAGTTTCGGGAACAGTATGGACAACCAGGGGCCTTATGCAGTATGAATTAAAGAATGAGCAAAAAAAAAAAAAAAAAACTGATTCGGCTGCAGCCCTGGATCTAAAGGGGGCTTCTGGCAGAAGAGTTGGGGCTTAGTTCCCTGTCCAGATCTGGGCCAGTCTGTCTGTCTGAGAGACTGTCTGGCTGCCCCTGTCTCCTCCTCGCTCGCTCTGCCTTCTATCCCAGAGGAATTTGTTTTCCACTACGCAGATGTTCGGGTTGTCCGCAGTGCTTCGCTAAGCTGTGTTTATAACAAAGAGGTGTTGCTTTTGAGGAGAAGTGAGGGCAGCGGGGTGGGGGGAGTGAGTGCCTAAGAGGAGCCGCAGAGGTCACTGAGCTGTTGGTCTAAACACTGAAAGATGCCAGCTCTCCCCCGGGCCTCCAACAGGTCAATACAGCATCTCTTTTCTTGCCTACAGATCTCTGTGTGTTCCAGGGGGGTGGATGGATTTGAACGTAGGACTTAGGAGTTGCAGTGGGGCCAGCAGGGGAGATGGACCCCACTGAGAAGGAGACAGTGTGCAATTAATGTCACAGTTCAACCTACTGAGCTCACTCACTCGTGCATTTGATCGACTACCTTTGAAATCTTAAGTATACTCCTCAAAATCATTATGAATCTCTGTCAGTTTCTGTAACATCTCATTAATACATATGAGTTATTGTTAAAAAAGAAAGAAATGATAATTGATTTGAGCTAATGTTGGAAATCCCAGTTTGATCCTGGAAGCTGATTTTAACAGTAATCCTCTTCAGAACATATTGGCTGTTCTGATTAAAAAGAAGAAAAAAAAAGGTAGTGTTTATCCAGATGGACTTAATACTTTAATGGATCGGATGTTTTGTGTTTACATTTGCATTCCTGAATGACTCAATCTGTTGTTAACCATTCAAAATGAACTGGCCACATGGCCGAGAGTGCGATAGATAGACTCACTGCAGAAAGCTCGCCCTCGCTCATGTTCAAAGCTCTCCGTCAATAGATGCGTGGGTGTTTTGTATGAATCCTCCTCAGTCGTGGCAGCAGGGATGCATGTATGGACATGTTTTTTTGATGAGTCATATTATTACCCTTCTGATAAGTATTGTTATATTTTCATTGACCGTCTGTACTGAAGCTGGCATAGATGCGATCATACTGCAAAACAATGGGGGAACTAATACAGCCATCAATTGTCAAAAAAAGAAGAAAAAAAATCCCTTTTCACGAGGCGATATCTGGATGTCTTCAGTTGGACTCATTAAAAGCTCTGGAGCACACATGGTTTAGTCAGGAATTTGTAGGTTGTCAGTAGGTGAGGGGTCCTCCAGCTAGCTTTACTTTGATCCATTGCTGAGATGACCAGAGGGCAGGCCGCTGAGCATGTGACAATGGATGGCGAAAGCTAATTTTTATCTGTGGAACACAAACAAAATAACTCACCAGCTTACACTGAGGAGGCAGGAAAACTGATCTTTATTTAACACGCGGCCTGGTTTTTTCTGAATAGGAGCGCTGTTTTTATGCGTCCTATATGAATTTGCAGTGAAGCTGTGACTATGATCAATGACTCACTGTCCACAGATGAATCTGGCTGCTTTTTCATCATTCTTTCTCTTCTCATTAAATCTCCGGTTTATCCATAAGACTCTAGATATGGAGTAAACTGATATGATGCTCCTCTGCCCTTGGAAACTGAAAATGCTTCCACCTACTTGTGAATGTGATGGTCTACTGACACAGATAGACTATTGATTTCATGCGTAGTAGGTTTTGGTACTTTGCATTCAACCCTCACAAAAAATCTTACATGGTCAGGTTCATCCGTTTTTAATCTTTTCAGCATCGCATCTGTGTCTATTAATGAGAAATCTGCAGACCTTTCATATCTTGATAATGAAAATCCAAGGCTGTCATTTGTTTTTTAGAAATTTCCAGGTGGGAAAATCAATGCAAATCAGAATCGTATCCTCCCCTCAATGAGACAGGGCTGGCAGATTGGATCCAATGTTGATTTCCAACCATGTCAAGAGAGAATGGGAGGATGACCGCGGGGGATGTAAATATAGACTATAAGAGGGATGAAGAAGTGATGATGGAGAGATGATGAGCAGCGTATTCTGAATGTGCATTGATATACTGTTAGGGGTTAGTCAACACACAGGAAGGTCATGGTTGTTAAAATGCAGATTTCCATCAATATGTGATCCTAACGGCAGCTGTAAGGTTTACTGGAAGTGATGTTAAAAGGATAGGCTCGCTCTTAAATATTTGGTAGAGTACTGAACCTTTCGCATGCTGTTTTATATTTAGTAAAAGTATTACATGTAGTACAATCAGGAATGACGTGAACTAGGGGTTGTCGGCTATTTTGAGCTTATTAAGCATGTTAAAAACATTTATATGTCAAATGAAAAATAAAGTATAATCAAATATAATATTACCGTTGTGATACAGTCTGTTTCGTACCTGTTCACTTTTCTGGTTTCCATCATTAGAAAAAGTTGACACCTTTTTCCCCTTGTGTTCTTCTAGTTCTGCGTGATGACTTCAGACAAAACCCCACAGATGTGATCGTGGCTGCGGGAGAACCTGCGGTCCTGGAGTGTCAGCCTCCCCGTGGACATCCTGAACCGACCATTTCATGGAAAAAAGACTCAACTAATATTGATGACAGAGATGAAAGGATCACTGTGAGTATTTCAGAATATCTTTTCAAAATCGACAATGCTAAAACCTACAGCAGCAAGGATGATGTCTACCCATACATGAGATGGAAAGCCCAGATTGTATTGAAAGATTTCTTTGGTTAATTACTCCCATGAAGCTATTTCCAAATCCAGAACACATATTTCGGTGGCTAAAGCCTTGAATAACTTGGAGTGGGTCTTGCCCCTTTAGTCAGCAGCAGTGCATTGATTGGGATGGTGTGTTGATGAGATCAACCAGGAGCGCTGCATCTCAGGAGGGAGAAATAAGCTGACCAGGAGGAAAGAAGTGAAAGAAGTGCTCAGCAGCAGCTGCGGCTGCAGAATCTAAACTATGTATATTTGATTTAATTACAACATCAGCATAGCCACTAGCACAGCCAGCACAGTTTCAATTGGCTCCTCCTGCTTGACCACTAAATCTCTGTGTCCAGTTATCCTTGCTCCAAACAAAACTTTGTGCCAATGACAAGTGAAGAGAACCCTTCAGTTATTTGGTATACTGATAAGTAGCCATTTAGGATCTGATTTTTTACTAGAAGTCTCGGGATTTCTAAATCTTGGTTTTGAAGTTTTCTTAGTTTCACCCTACTCTGCCAATGAATGGCTAAACTAGCAAAAAAATTTTTCACGAATCCTACTTTGCACAAGTAATAGATATCAGGTACTTATTACTTATTACACATCATAATACATTTTTATTGTATCTTTTGTTAAACAGTGTCTACTGAAGTTCAGCATCCTAAACCGTGCAGTTATTCTCACTCAGTTTTTTTTAAGTTACCTTACAGAAGCTAATTTGTCCATATTTGGCTTACTAATAGCAGGACTGAATAAAACTAACTCACAATCAAGTTGAAAGAGAATAACATCATATTGTGACTGTCATCATTATGGTGATGAGGATGAAAACATTTTGCCTCAGTGAGCATTTGTAGAGGAAGAGAGTTTGTGTTGAATATTTGATCTTCTGTAAATTAATGGTGAATCATTGATAAATCTAATCTTTAATCTTTTTAGAATGCTCCATCAAAGTGTTTTGATCGGTAATTTTAAATGCTTTTTTAGACAAATCTGTCCTGATAGATCTTTCTGTAATGCCTTACAAACACACATACCTTCCCGTTATTGATATTAATATTCAAAACACTGTTTGTTTTTGTTTTTTTAATGCATGCTGGAAATGCTTTAATGAATATAGTGAACAGTGTGTCTCACACAGGCTGAATGACTCAGAGTTGTGTCTGGGTCGCCTGCTTCAGTGTTCTGGGGAACTAAAAACAGGCTCTGAGCAGCTGGTGTTGCTCACCGTAAACTTCCTGTCGTGCACGAAACCTCACGGAGTGTTGAGCGTTGCCAAATGGCCACTTTAAGATTTCTGCTCGACGTCATGTATGACCACTTGAAACGTGTAATCATCCGCGGCGACAGACGGGAGTCTGCGCGGTGTCCTGTGGGCTCCAGGTTAACAGGATTTGGACAATTATAGGATGATGTCCGGTTCCTTTATGTCATTTTACGAGTGAGTTTCGGCCCGCGGAGGAGGTCGAAATCTTCGTAATGTGATGAACAGCTGAGCTCATTAAAGGCCTCCCTCTCAGCTGGCCTGCACTGTAATGTTTCGTACAGTTCATTCCTCCGCCACTGCAACATGCCAAAACGTGCAGTCTCCTTGGTGATAGCTGGTGATCAAACCAAAGTCCCCAACCACCTGGAGTGGGGATTTTTTCCCTTCGCATCAACGCGAGATGTTTTACATTTGCAGGAAACAGACATAGAGAAATACTATATGGAGGAGCTCCCCTGTGTTTCGTTGTGTTGCAGTTATGTGTGTACAAAGTCACGACATTTTGGGTGTCATGTTGGATGTATTCATGGCCTCATGTGGGGCGGCTTAAAAGGTTTCCCACATTGTGATACAAAGTAAGGTTGTTCTGTTACTTTGTGTTTCTGTTTTTTTTTTTTTTTTTTTGTTGGGGAGTGAATTTATTCATTAATTTATTTTCTTTCTTTCGTGCTTTCACACAAGCAGCAGCTGCCCATGTTTGTCAAACTGGTTTTCAGGAACAATGAGAGAGGTATAGACAAGTGAAAAAGAAATGGAAAAATGCCAGCATTTAAACCTATACCTGTGTCTGCTCACAACAAAAGCTTGTCAACAGCATCAGCAATGCTGCACAATGCCTCCCCCCCACTCCTTTTGTGTGATAGTTTTGGCTAATTATCAGCTTGCAAAATAAACTGCTGTGAGAATACCAAAAGAGATTTCATTGAATGGCGGGGATTTGCATTATCTGCAATGCCAAATGACATGAGACAAAAGGAAACAGGATAGAGCCATCTCTGTGTAATGCAAGGATAATGGTCAGATTGTCGGGGCTTTCAGCCGCCTGTGTTGTGGTTGAGAGGATATGCAGAGAAAAAGAAAAGCCACTGCTGCATGCATTCACTTTAGCTAGCTCTCATATTCCCTGCTGTTTAGGCACTCCAAAAATGCCGGGGTAAAGTGGGAAACTGCAGCAGACGCGCATGGGGTTAGGAAATGGACGGAGTGGACAGGGCCTTAAGTGGATCCTCGTGTCAAAGCTCTGGAACCAACAGCTCACCCCCACATCCCCCAGTTCCCCTACCATGTGGTCTCCACTGACCTTGGGCCTTTGTGAGTGTCACAGTGTTTTAGCTGTTAAGCCTTTCCTCAAACAAACAGTAACATAATGATACTTCAAACCCCTCCAGCACCACAGGGTGCCCGAACCAAGCAAAGTTTCCACACCCATTGAAGTGTCTCCTCCTTTACCATGAATATTAAACAGAGTGAAGGCCCAACTAATGCCTCAGTACTAAATAAGGCAATGTCTAAAACTGTTATCCTTTTAAGAAAATAGATGTACACTGTATTGGATTGATATGAAAAGCAAAGATAGGTTTAATGTGCACACACATGTCATAGCTACATAAAACAGACTTTTTTGTGCAATATTATGTGTCGGTGGGTCTCTAATGACAATATTAGTTACATGCTTGCAGGAGGTGGTGCTGTTCTTGAGGGCTGGTGTGTGCATGTAGAACCTTATGCTCCGACAAGGCAAAGGGATCACCGGAGCATCACACTATTGTCTGAATCTGCTCTGACTGTCATCATTGTCAGCTGAGAGAAGGGCTGAGGGCCCAGTACAGAGACTGGGGTTGCCTCTGTGACTGCCTGGGAACAAAGCATCTCCTCTGGCCTGTAATCAAAGCCCTGGGAAATAACAGACATGACATTCACCTGGACAAACACACATTTACCGCCAGGTGTGTGTAGTAGTTCACGTCTGCTTGAATGTGTGCGCCCCTTGTTCTCGCTTGCGGCCGTGTGCTCGTACGCACACACTGGGGAAAAATAACACAACGATTCCCTAATGCCATAATACAATAAAGTATCCTCAGATGACTGGAAGAATGCTCGCAGTCCTGCAGAGCCCCGGGCGTTACCTTAGGGAGCTGCAGCTGCTGTATTGAATTAGGAAAGCGTTCCTCTACCCCGCATTCAAACTCACTGACTGACTAACAATGGAAAATGGGTGACATTCAGTAAGCTCAAAGGGCAAACGTGACAGAAAAACTGTAATGAAGCTTTAATGTGTTTTGGGGAAATATTTGGTTTGCAGATATTATTGACAGAAATCCGGAAATGTTTGAGCTGTGCTGTTTTTCTCTTTCCTCCGCTCGAAGCAGGTAATACTGCTCCTCCTCTCGATGTTTCACTTATCACCTTCTCTTCTCTTTTCTCCCAGACGCGTGGAGGGAAGCTGATGATCACAAATGCCCGCAAGAGTGACGCTGGGAAATATGTGTGCGTCGGCACTAACATGGTGGGAGAACGTGAAAGTGAAGTGGCGGAACTTACAGTGTTAGGTAATGCATTTTTTTATCTCTGGTTCAGAACTTCGATCTTCCATATCCACACACAGGTTTACACGTTTGTTTCTGGGTCTGCAATAAGACAGATTCCACACGTAAAGCTTCCACCATAAACCTCTAAATGATGCAGTTGATCTTTAACAGATCGTATAAGATGACCAACAATCTCAAATTGAACTTGTGGCTGCTGCAGCCTATCTGACTTGCTGCACACTATTTCGCCACAAGTGACCTCTGACCCCGATACTCTCCTGCATCTTCTCCTGAGAGCATTTCTGGACGCTTGATTTTATCCTTCTCAGGGACTTCGTAAAGTCTGTCAGTATAGACAGTCAAGATAAATAGTTACTCTAAAGACATGAAGAATAAACAAGGGCAGCTCTTACATCTGAGCCATGTTCCTAACCCAGAAACATTGGTTAATTATAAACCTTCCCGTTTTGTTGTGAGGACTGATGCTCCATCAGACAGAATCTGTGGAGAGCAGTTAAACAGAGAGCTTTGATTTTTAGCCACAGTGGTTATAAATAGATATATAAAAAAAGGCTGTGGTTGTGAACTGTTGGGATAAGACTAAGTGAGTGTTAAAGCTAGTTGGTTGGTGAATGCTAATGAAGTGGCTTGTCAAAAGTAGTAAAATGTATAATATGCACTTAAGCTAAATGTTTGCCGGCTTGTCTTTTATCTTGCGCACCATCTTCTCCATCCGTTCCAAACTGTACCTTTGTCTTGTACATCGTTTATCATTAACCAATACTTCATCCTGAAGGAGTCCTTGGCTTTGATGTTAGCAGGGACATAAAAACCTGTAGGGAATTTTTTCTTTGTGCAGATTAAAGCATATTAAAGCATGCATTTTTGTGTACACAAATATTAAATGTAAAAACAATAATCATGCTCATTTTGTACATGTAATAGATAATAGATCAACTTTCATAGTCGTATCCTCAGTGTTATCGCAGGAATCTGAAACTTTGCCCTGTCCAAAATTCATACTTATTTTTTTTAAATGTAGCAAATACAATTTTTTAAGTCAACCTTACATCATTTGTGTATATACATATCCTGAAAACATACTGAATTCAGTCTGATCTTACAAAAGTAAATAAACATGCAAAGTCTTTTTATTTGTTGATTTTGTCCTAAATCCACACAGTAAAGGAATTCTGTTAATATTCATTTTTGTGTTTTTATTCTTTTAATTTGTGCAGAACGTCCCAGCTTTGTACGCCGACCAGGTAGCCAGGTGGTGTTGGTGGATCAAAGTGTAGAGTTTAGGTGTGAGGCCCGTGGTGACCCGGTTCCAACCGTACGCTGGAGGAAAGACGATGGAGACCTCCCCAAAGGAAGGTATGACTCATCAAGTCTCCCCGTTTAATCAGAAAATGTCTTCTTTACACCTTATTTCCTGTTGGCTGGATCCATCACTTCCTTTTGTGTGTGGTCTTCAATTGATTTGAGTTTTTGTCAACATCTGATACATGAAAAAAATGTGTTGATCCAGATTTGAGATTCGCGAGGACCACACCCTGAAGATCCGTCGACTGACGTCCGCTGATGTGGGCTCTTACACCTGCGTGGCCGAGAACATGGTGGGCAAGGCGGAGGCATCGGCCACGCTCACCGTTCACGGTAAGCCGGGACACTGCAACAAACAGGAGTTTAAAACAGTTCATCTGGACAAATCTATTATTTACGGTCCCTTAGAATTCAGCCTCATTTTGAGTATTTGTGCAGCTTCATTCAAACGCAATCTAGCCCTAATTCAATGCAGTAATAGCCAACAGCTTTGCTACTGTATGGCCATTACTGGAAACTATTCACTCTCAATTAGCTGATTGATTTCTAATAAAAAAGGAATGCAAAAATCCATACCAGCTGCAGAGTTGTGCACATGGGGATCCAACAGCAGTTGATTTCATTTGCCTTATACAAGTGGCATTTCTCCAGAGGTCTGTCCTCCTTCACGGTTTAAGACATACAGTGCTACTTGGGAAGGTATGGAATATCTGTGTGTCTCCAGTGGCCCTTTCCATTGGACCTCTTATTAACACAGTTGGAATATAAAGCAGCTGGTCACAGAGTGTGAACATTTAAAAAGAAACCATTCAGGGGAACGGCGTGGGGGTCGGGGTGGGGGGTCGGCCCAAAACCCTCCTGAGAATCAGAGGAACACAGAGGCCATTTAACGGCAAACTAATAGGAATGTCGGGAGTCGGGTGAGACAAGAGGGCAGGCGGGGAGGAGGAAACTAAAACATAAAGGATGGGGATTGGGTGGAGGGATGAAGAGCACGTCGGCGTTGGAGGTGGCTCATCATTGATGCAGAACGGGTTGGGAATTGGGGTTGGGGGAGATGGTGGTGAAGAGGATAGAGGGGGGGGAGATTTCTGTGTTGAGGTCAGTCATATTAATGTCACCACCAGCAGTGTTCACAGCAGAAATTTAAAGAGACAAGGCAACTCCATTCTCCTGCCATCCCCCCACAGCCAAGCACTCCGCATGGCTACCCTTTACAATTATTTCTTTATTTTCTCTGCAGGGCAGCAATCTTTAGATTGGTTTGAGGCCTGAGATTAAGCTCACCTGCCAATACACCCGTCAATATATCTACTTCTCTTATTGCTTTTTTCCCCCCATTCTTTCTCCCTCCTTGATGAAAGCTTCGTTAATGAAAGAGAACAGAATTGATGCATGGCTCAATAAGCTGTTCTCCAGGCTTAGAATCATATTTGAAATGCTAAAACCTCCTCTGTTCTCGGTGGAAATTAAATGTCTAAACCTGTAGCCAATTCCCTGTTGCCTGCTTGTAGAAGCAAGGCACTAGTCTCCTCTTTATACATCATGCCTTTCAACCCCTATCTTGTAAGAGTCACAAAATAAAAGTTTAACCTCAACAGCTTTCAAAGTTCTTAGAGCAGTTTCAATCTACTTTTTAGATCTATACGCTTCATCCAGCCCGGCATACAGAGGCCAGCGAGGCTGTGGGTACTGAGTAGCCCAAGTAATTAAAGGCGAGCAGGCCACAATCCCACGCTCGGAAATAACATGCTTCTAATTACAGATGCAGGCACAGGAATGGAAAGAAAAGCTGGATAATTGCAGGTCTAAATGGGCCAAAGTAGAAAACGATGTATAGGTAGTGAGATGTTGCCGTAGCAGTGAAGACAACTGTGATGTGGGGGAGCAGAAGTTTAGTCTGTGGGTTTGGTGGCTATTGCTGTCAGCCTGCATCACTACCCGGCCATGGGCAAGAACTACTTGCAGAGAGAACTACACCACAGAGCGATTAATCAGACAGGCATGGCTCGAGTGGAGTTCGGATTGATATTCTCAAGTTAAGGAAAGTTAAAAAAAAAACAGGAATTGGAAATGATGAAGTGAGACGAGTGTCATCTTTTTATTGTTTTTTTATTATTGTAGAGAGCCCTATGTCAATGGGATTGAGTAAATGCAGCAAGCCGCATGATTTTGAGGATTTAGGGCCTTTAGAGTGAATCTCTTAAAAGAGCTGAACAGTTCATGGGGATACTGTAGCTCTTTGTGAACAGAAGAACCTTCACACCTTACATGGTCAGATTGTTCATGAACAATGGCGACACTGTGGAGGTGGCACCTTGGGCTATTTTTCTTTCAAGGAGCTCTGCTCTCACTACTAAGCTGATCAATGGATTATTGTTTAACACGCATGTTTGTCAGTCCCCTACACCTCCTCTGGACTTATGAATGTGTCAAGGCAAATATTCGCATGATTGATTGAATAAACATATAATTGGGCCAGTCACTGGCCAGTTTTATAGTTTCATTCTGAAATCGTTACTCTAAGCCACATGAGTGTAGAGAAACGATGGATTTTCTGCTTTTGACATTGCTATGCGGACATTCTGTAAATCTAAGAACTGGGTGGAAGTGTTGATGTATGTCTGGTGTTGTTAGATAAGGTTTAATCTGTATTTTTAAATAAAACTTTATCAGTGGATGCTGTATTAATAAGAATTTACGATTAAAAGCTGTATTGGACAGAAGTCAGAAAATGGGGTTGTTATTTTTTTCCCGGCTGGTTAAATTTGCTGTGGACACTGATTTATGTGTTGAAAAGTCTTGAATAGAATTATAGTCCCAAGAGCAGCATTGCTAATAACCCATGTAACGGGTCTGGAAGGAAGCTTGGAACTGGTGCCAAAAGAGAGTGAATGAAAGGAACTTTCTTTTCAGGAGTCTGTGTGTTGTTACAGTGACGCTAAACATTTTTTACAAGATCAATAGTCTCCTTAGAGAGTGCACCTTTGTTAATATTTTCAGCATTTTCTCCAAAGTGGTTTACAATGCTTTAAACACAGACCTGGGACTGAATGGCCAACCTTGCAACTATCACTTGAGCTGCAGCTGTTCCTCTTCATTCACTGGTCTTAGCCATAAAGTTGACCAAGTCTCAGAGAAGGATAGAACATTTAATATGCTCCTGTGTTGATTGCAGGTCCATTAAACATTACCATTCTTCAAAACCCAGCAATATCTGAAGTGTAGTACATAGCCTGGCTCCTGTTGTGGAGGTGGCCACAGTGTTGAGTGTTTTCTTCTCAGCTGGTCAGATGAGTTTATTGATGGACCCCCGTCGTGCTGTATGTGAATAGTGAGCCCACGCCAAATAGCCAGGTCAAATTTAAGGCTCACCTCTCCCTGCAGGCCCACAACTGAGATCACAACAGCATGGGAGAGGTAGGGTTACCTAATTAAAGGCTTAGACACACATGGATGGATGTGTGGAAGCATTATAGTGGAGGTTGTGTATTTGTGGGTGTCTCATAGGACTGTCATGAGTGTCTTGTTCTAAGAGTGTTTGATGTCCGCACACCTTATCTGCATTTTAGAGGCTAGTGAGAGGCAGAGGGGGGGAGGAAGAGTTCAGTCATTATTCTGACTGACAGCGTTTATGTTTCTAAGGGAGCCGTTGAAACAGACAGATTAGATAAGGTGAGTGATTGGTTTTGGGAGATTTATAACCATTGAGTGACAGTTAGTATTCACCTTATGTTTTTATGATCGGGTTTAAAAATTCAAAGCCATGCTTGAGGGTCTATGATCTTGCTACTCTTCTGGGTGCTTAAAATGTCAGTAAAGGCACAAGGATGGCCACTTTCACACAACACTTGGGTGGAGAGGAAAAAAGATAAACAATGCTGGAATTAATGTGCACAAAGCATCTGTTCAATTATATGTCACGTTGTTATCTATGCACCTTTCTTATAATATTGTCTAACTTGATCCAGTATTTTTTTTCTTTCCGTGAGTGTGTCCCAAAACTACAGCAGAAGGTTGATCATTTTTCTTTTGTATGATAATGTTTAAAACATTCCTGACCAATCTAAGTAATTACCCTCAGCTGCATGTACCATGTGAGTGGATAACCAAATAATGCTTTTTTTTGCAGGATAATGATAACATGATTATTTGTGTCCATGAATATCACTCTGTTATTTTTACTATTTATTTCTTTTGTCATGCTGTTTATTATTTATTTATTCATCCTTGGAATCATTGTTGTTGTGTTTTTGTTTCTTTTATAGTCGTGTCTGGTAAGTTGAAATGTCATCCGTCACCTATTCACCGTCCTGACAGAGACAGGAAGCTGTCACCACCCCCCCTCCATCCTCCTCTCATCACCTCTCCACCCTACAATCAGCATTCATGCTTCTGTTGTCATGGGCAACAGTGACAAAAGGACATTAATGGGTAAAAAAATATGTCCATCTTGGCCTTCCAAGGTAAAGTTACATCATTTGATTTAGTTATTTCCCCTTTTATGCATTCACAAAAACCTTATTTCTGGATGTATTGTGGCTGGAAACTGAAGTGACACTTTTCTGAATGCCTATCTCCATGTATCAGCCTATATTGAAAGGGAGTGACATGATTGCATAATTCTACTATTTGAGGGCATTTTTAGAACGCTTTTGAATTGAAGGTATATGCTGGTCTGCGTCTTGACCTCAACATTCAGTTCGTGTCTCTTCTCAGAAAACCATTGTCACCACCGACTTGCATGGCTGACATTGGGCCACATCACTACTTTTTATCTGAGATTGAATTTGTCATTAAGATGCATGAATACTGCATTCCAGTTGATGTCCGCACTATTGGAGGTTATCAGCATGGACAGATGGCTCAAATTTATTCCCCATTTCCATGTAAATTTTATTGGTCCATGCCCTTGCCCATGCAAATGGGAGATATGGGAATACTGCTTGTTTTTTGTATTCATTAGATCGACAATATGCTTACGTTTTAGTTTTCATTTACTCTACTGTTCAATCTGCTGTGCAATCAGCATTGAAAGTTTTGAAAGATTGCCAGAAAACGTCAAAATAATTAATGCTGTTATTTAATCCCATCCAAGCAAACTTGCTTAGGGAAAATCTAATTTGTTTTACATTAAAAAAACTCATACTTGTGGTAACTGTACCATGGCATGTATTCAATGGATAACCATACTCACAACTGTCATGCAGTGCCTCCAGTATTTGTGGTGAGACCAAGGAACCAGGTGGTTGGAGTTGGCAGAACCGTCACCTTCCAGTGTGAGGCCACTGGAAACCCACAACCAGCCATTTTCTGGCAGCGGGAAGGCAGTCAGGTAAATATCACCATCTAAAAATAAATATTCTATTTAGTAAGACTATCACATTGCCAAACATGCTGATACACTCATTCCAGGCTTAAGGGAAACTGTTTGTTGGCACTGGTGACATTAGAACTGATAATTGAATCCAATAGGACTTGAGATGGAGTCCAGACATGAGTTTCAGCTCAAAAAATTGCAGATAGAGTAGCTCAGTTATATTTTTGGGGCAATTTTTTTTTTGTTTAGGCCCATTTTTTCCCATAGACAGAAGTATCAATGTATGAGTTAGCAAAGTTTATTCATAAAGTAATTTTCATCAGTGTTGATTTAGATTTTGCTTTGTTACCTGCCTAAAGATATATTTTTCAATTGAAATCATCAAGACATATAACTCATTCTAATCTGAGATGTGCTTCTTTACCTCCTAACAGAACTTGCTGTTCTCCTACCAACCTCCTCAACCCTCCAGTCGGTTTTCAGTCTCTCAGACTGGAGACTTGACCATCACTGATGCTGAACGCTCGGACATGGGCTATTATAGCTGCCAGGCGCTCAACATCGCTGGCAGTGTGATCACCAAGGCCCTGCTGGAGGTCACTGATGGTATGGAACCCTTTTAAACTCTGTTTATTCATTCAACAAAGCCATAGACAGAAGTGCCAACACAGATAAAAAAGCTCGAAAGTAAGGACGTTATATTTTCAGATAATCTTTTGCTTGTACGTATTGTACTGATCATGTGTAATCCTGTGGCTGGGCTCAAAGGTATATTAATATCCGTATTGAGGTTTGTGAGGTTTGGTCTGGCCTGTTCAATATGTTCCTGTCAGGGGTAGAGACTGTCTGGTGCCTGCGCACCCAGACCATGGTTCACTGTTTGGCTTCTCTGGCTTCAAACTGGCATATCTCCTCCAGTAATCCACAGCTGGCTTGCTATACCGTTGGAAGACTGTGACCATGTGGTGAGGTCTGGATTCTGTTTTTCTGCTCGGCTGGCCAATCAGCTTCAGCCTTGCGGACCGACTATGCCTCACTTGTACCATTCACGCAGTTATCCTGGCAACTGCTATTTTGCCTATGACACACCTAGATTCATCCCTTCATTTATCACATGTCCTCTTCACTTAGGGACTACATTGGTATGCTCCATCTCTCCCTCCACTTCTCTGTCTCTCATTCTGTTGTGCTCTCTGGATAATAATAACAGTTATTAAAGTGAGGAGGCTGCTCCGAGGCCACCACTTCTCCACAGACAGATCTGGTAATAACAGGTCACACTGACAATGTTTTAGTAATTTCACCATTCCCAGCACAAAAGCAAAAAAACAAAGCAGCCCACAGATTACACCGCAGTGTGGTTTCGGAAGATCTAGGCACACGTACATACATCACCATATGATGCCTTTACACTGTTAGATGTTAATTTGACTCCTCTTCACTGAATGTAATATGCTAGTAAATCAGTAGACCTGACAGCGATGGCCATGTATTGGTCAATGAAAGATAATAATAAGAGAGAGAAGGACACCCAGTAGAACAAACGTGATGAATTACACACAGTAGAGCGAAAATAAAATTATTGTAGTGATCTGTTCGTGTAATTAAAGTCCCTCATACATCTTTTCCTCCCGCCCCCTGCTTCACCTGCCTTCCCCACATTACAACATCTCCACAGGTACAGGCTGTATTTTCGTGCCTTTGTTTGTCTTTGTGTCTGCTGGCTGAACAGCCCTGTTTCACACTAGCTGTGAGGTAGGGAGGGGTTTCAGCATCCTCATGCAAATAGCATTGCCTGTTCTGGCTAGATGTTTTTTTTTTTTTTTTCCTTCTCGTTCGGTGTTTTACGGCTGGGGGAAGGGCCCCCTTGCATTGTTGGCTTCTAGCATTCTGATGCATTCCGCTAGGCGTCTGGTAGATCTGCAGTGAGAGAACTGTGGCCGCTTCGTTTTAATTACGGCACTTTTATTTGGCTAGGATGGGCTTCCTGCTGCCGAATGATTAGAAAATTGCTTCCAGTACTTTAGAATTGGATTTAATTCCTGTCCTACTACCCTTGCAGTTTTCACATTTTTACATTGTTACACTCTGTTTGTCCAATTCTCACCATTCTATGTGTTTTGTGTGTTGTCTCCCAGCTGGATGCAATTGTCTGAATTCTAGTTTCCTCTCACCCTGCTTCCTCTTCTCCACATAATTGTCCGTTCGCTTTCCTGTTTCCACAGTTGTGTCAGACCGCCCGCCACCAATTATACGACAAGGCCCCACCAATCAGACGGTGGCTGTGGACGGCACTGTGGTCCTCAACTGTGTGACATCTGGTAACCCCACCCCCACCGTCCTGTGGAGGAAGGACGGTGTCTTAGTGTCCACGCATGATTCCAGAGTCAAACAGCTGGACACAGGCGCGCTGCAAATCCGTTATGCAAAAGTAAGTCACCTGGACCAAACATACTCACAAACATTTTTAACCACATCCTGAGCAATAAATACTTTAGATAAAAACATTTGCTAAATGCACATAGCAGTAGCCTTGGCTGCTCTGCGACCTTTCAGTTTGATTTGTAAAACAAGCATGAATATGCGGTAAGCATACGATATTGTCATTACTGATTAAAGTTTTCTATTTGACAGCTTTCAATGTTAAACCCATTCAGATAGACTTCAGAGCTGTCCGTGTTGAGCCCATAATGTGCTTGGCAAACCCCCGCCGGTTAGTAAATAAAGCATGTGTTCCTGGCAGCGACCAGAACTCAGTGGGCCCTCGGCCAGTTGTCCCGGGTTTGAAATAGAGTCTGTGAAGTTGAACAATCTGTAGTTGCTGTCAGTCAGCGAGCACGGCGGGGTTTGAGAGACCTCCCTCATGCGTGTGTGTATGCGTGTGTGTGTACGCACCGGTTTAATGGCAGGCTTTGCGATGCGCAACGCTCTTACGCAGAGACAAGTAAGGGGGTGCTGACGCGTCTGGTGAAACTGGAGGCATCACGGGGTCAGAGGTCACATCCATTTGCAGTGTTCTGATGAATCCTGGCATGTCTTGCGGAGACAAGATTGTAGTGTGATTGGTTTGCCGTTGCGATACAGGCAGGAGGCGACACATCCAAACCCCTCTCATGCTAATGCACAATATACTCTGCCCGCACTTCACATTAATGGACTTGTCATGTCTCTCAGAGAGCATTTTAATGAATATGTTAGTGATGTGTGGGGTAATTTGTTTTCTTCATTTGGAATTGTGAGTGTTATTTTTACTAGGTTTTAGAATATGTCCTTTCTGTCGGACTAAAGAAGGTACACGCCTTAGGGTTTGTTGGCGTAACAAGCTTGTGTTCCATCATCAAACAATTTGTCTTTGTTTTCCTGGGCTCTCTTAGCCTACACATACCACTTAGTGTGCCATGTATCAGCAGTGAAGCATACGAGAATTATTTGTCTTGCGCAAGTCCTTACCTCACTTAACTGTGCAGACTTTTTAAATGTAAAAATGATGATTTCTACTCTGCCACCAGGGCTATTTGTGTTTGGCTTATTAGACTTTAGGAAAGCTGAAAAGCATAGAAAGTTGTCGTTCCATTTAGAAAAAAGTTTGAGTTTCTGAACTGAATTGATTTAAACTGGCAGATGTAACGTGTTTTTCACTGATAAAGACATGTTTGCAGGTTTAGATGTAATGCAAATGATTGAAATAATTGTGAATGGAAGGATGTAAGGAAGTAAAAAAGTGCAGAAGGAATATGAACGATCATGATATAACAAAATATGTATAAATCCCAGCAGTCTCAGTGGTGTCAGGTTTTCAGGGGGCTGGCGAAGAGGAGAATGGTCTCCAATTAGCGTACAGTGTTGTGACTGTCTTTTCTGTTTGGCCTGGAATACTCTGCTACTTGGCCTCTCCAGCTGCTTTCTCCTGTATTTTGATTTAAAAGATGATAATGAGACTAACAGGATCAGCATCAGAGTCAATCTGAATGCCAACAGGCAAAGAGGTGATGAGTTTGGAGAGATACCGAGAAGCAGAGAAAAGCATCGGAAACAATGGGACACATTTAAATAATTTCCATTTAATCAAATAACCATCCTTTCTTCTCCTTCCCCAGCTTGGTGACACTGGCATGTACATGTGCATTGCCTCAACACCCAGTGGAGAGGCCTCATGGAAAGCCTATTTAGAAGTCCAAGGTAAAGTGAACCAATATTCTGCTCAACAGTGACCATATATGAGATTTCTTGTGTAAAATAATGTGTTTTGATACCATTTATCAGAACTGAGAAAAATAAAAGTGAGAAATAATAGAGATGTTCCATATGCCATTGGTCACATATCACAACATGTTGCTTTCTCTCTTTTTCACACTTAGAATTTGGAGCCCCAGTCCAGCCAAACAGACCCACTGACCCAAACCTAATCCCCAGTGCACCTTCTAAACCTGAGGTCACAGATGTTTCCCGTACCTCCGTCACACTCACTTGGAAACCTAACTTGAATGCAGGAGCCACACCAACGTCCTATATCATAGAGGCCTTCAGGTAAAGCCTAACTGTTGAGCTATCAGTAAAATAATCAATGAATGATCTCATTTAAACTTTATCTAAACCGTAACTGTCTCTGTTGTGTGTCCACAGTCACGCATCAGGGAGCAGCTGGCAGACTTTGGCGGATCATGTAAAAACTGAGTCCTTCGTACTGAAGGGCCTGAAGCCCAGTGCAGTCTACCTCTTCTTGGTGCGGGCAGCCAATGCCTACGGACTGAGTGATCCCAGTCCTATCACAGATGCTGTGAAAACACAAGGTGAGAACTTGCCTTCTTACATATTATCAATTTGTTAAACAGTGAACGCTGTATTAATGTCACTATTTGTATGCTGTTGGACACAGACATCCCTCCCACCAGTCAGGGTGTGGATCATCGCCAGATCCAGAGGGAGTTGGGAGAAGTCGTCATCCACTTGCATAACCCCACCATTCTGTCTTCATCTTCAGTCAGGGTGCAGTGGACGGTGAGTATGATTTTTCTTAGAATGCACTCTCTTTCTTTTTGATTTAGGAAGATGTAGCTTGCTACACATTGTAGCATGGGTGGATGATGACCAATCAGGCAACCATTTAGCTGAGCTAATTTGCCAGCATCCTTCCACCCTGCAGAGGACACACATTGTCGAAAACATCACGAAAAGCAGGCTAAGTCCTCTTAGTGCATCTGGCATGAGATGAACTTGTCTTTCCACAATAACAACTCAGACAGCCACCCTTACAACTATACCCCGGTGCCCAACCTTTAACAAAGGACCATGTAATATGCTGCATAGCAATGTGTGGCGTGCCAATCTGTGCCCTTGCTGATTGGATACAGTTGCCAACTGTTAAAACAATACAAGAGAAGCAGGAGACGGCCAACTCAGGCTCTTGAGTGGAAATAGCTTGCAGATGTTTGAATGGATAGGTGAGCGCAAAAGAAGAACAAGTGGGAGCTTATCGTGGCGTTTTTGTGCTGCCCGCAGGCTAAATTTAGCTGATGTCCAGCTGCACCTGGTCCGATTAGTGTGTTTTTATGATATCTTAAGCATCCCAGGCAAGATATTGGAGTGTTTGATAAGTCATTGAAGGGTAAGAGCCATTGTTGTGTTCGGTTTTGACAGAAGGCCACCCTCCCACATTCCCAGGTATAATGAGGCACCGTATGAGTGATGACTGGAGTTGAGGAAATGTGAAAAAGATACAGACATGTCAAGACTGATTTAAAACATTACTGCCCAGTTACTGTGCCTCGCTGGAATGTCTGTAAAACACATGACACGAGAGGCTGACATTGTAGTTAAATGACACAGTTTCCTTGTTTTATAGTGTTAAAGTCATTCCCAATGTGGAGTTTCTGGACTTTACATTTTCCTTTGTGTCGTAGTGAAGGGTTCACAGTTTCCCGGCTAATGAAGACCACCTGATCTGGCAGCATATTTTATGGAGGGGGGGATAAAGAAATCACTAAAATCTTTACAAGTCAGTGCTGCTTGCTGTGTGCGGGGACAGCGGGTTTAGCAGTTATTCTTTTCTTGAACTCCAAAACTTTACAACGCAACTTTAACTAATAGTTAAACCGAAAGATAAATGCTTTTGCATTTCATTCATTTGGTTCGCATCAGATGCAAATTTCTTGTAGTTCTAGAAACTTTGAGTAAAGAACTTTTTTTTTTTTGTTCAACAGTCAGTGGAGAGCAGGGCAGGATGAGACACACTGTTCTGGGAGTCTGGGCCCTATTTAACCAGCTCCAGACTTGTAGGAACCTTTGGCCAATGACCTCATAGTGCGGTTTGCACAAATCACTGCCACTCCAAATGGCGCATAGACACACAGTCCAGAGGAGGGATGTAAATGCAGATGAATAGACAGATGGGTGATGTGATGAGTTAGCACCCCATTCCGACCGGTGCCTGATGTGCCAGTCAAAGGAATCTGCGTTTGTCAAGTGGTTCTACGATGCACGATTTGCCGTATCACTTACCGATGCATAAAAATTTAGCACATAATCGAGTCAAGCTGTCTCCGTCTTGCGTGCTCCTGTGCCATTCCGTAGGTGGAGCAGCAGTCCCAGTACATCCAGGGCTATAAAGTGATGTACAGGCCTTCCCCAGAGGGGCAGCAGAGGAGTGAATGGGGTACATTTGAGGTGCGGACCCCCGGGGAGGACAGTGCCGTGGTGACACAGCTTCGGAAGGGGGTCACGTACGAGTTCAAAGTCCGCCCCTTCTTCAACGAGTTCCAGGGAACAGACAGTGATGTCAAAATTGCCAAGACGCTGGAGGAAGGTGGGGGGATGTGAATGGCCGTGCGCTTTGTGTGTATTCATGTTTTTTATGTGTTCACAGTTTTCTGCGCGCAGCTTGCATGTGTGAGAACATACGACAAGCAGGGTTGCGTTTGGATTATTACACGTTCAAATGTGGTATATTCATGCATGCCTAAGTATTGAAGCCCATACACAACACCCCAGTGCATGTGTTTGACTAATCTTTCACAGGGAGTGGTTGTGGCAGTCTCTTGAGGTTTGCTTGAAACCAAACTGCAAATTTTAATTTGTAGCAAACATTTGAAGAGAAATGTGAGTGTTTACTGGGGCGTGCGTGTGTGTGTGTGCGTTTGTGTGAGCTTCATGTGTGGGAGTGTTTTGATCTTTTTTATGCTGGGCTCTCCTTTGTTCCCAGTTTTATTGATAATTGTGTTTGGAGCATAACATGTTTCTTCTCTGAAAAACAGAAAGACATGCTTTTTATAGAGGTCATAATCATTTCAGCCAGATTACTGTTTGACCACAGGTTGCTATTGATACACAACAGCACTCTACTGTCATCGCTCTCTGCTTGTTTTGAGTAAACACTTATTCACTTTTATTTACTTGAAAAAGCAGATCAGTGGTTCTGATGGTTAGAAAATAAAAAAGACTATGATTAGTCATTTGTTGTCGCATTAGCCTCGCCCTCACGCAGAGATAAAGAACAAATCCTTACAGCTAAATTACATTTTGGAGGTTCAGAAAGACTTCACGCCGTTACAAAAATATAGAACATTTATGACCATATGCTGTCCTTTTCTTTCTTTTTTTTAAAAATCGATACCCAACAGCGCCGAGTGCCCCTCCTCGTAAGGTTACAGTGACAGAGAGTGGGGATAATGGGACTGCCATCGTTGTCTCCTGGCAACCCCCTCCAGAAGAAGAACAGAATGGGGTGGTCCAGGAGTATAAGGTAACAAAAAAGACATTTGGAGGAAAAAAAACTATGAGTGGAACTTCTTTTGTTAAACATGAGCGAGACACAAACAGACATACCAGACAAAAGAAAAAGAGACAATGCACAGACATGGAAAGGTAATGAATTCTTGGTGGAGGCATACCTTTGTATACCATTGGCTGCCCCCCTTCTGTGTAATGACAGAGGTTCAGAAACAGCGTGGCAGTCAAAATCTGTGTGACTGTGAGGTACAGTTATGAAACAGTGCCATCTGGTGGAATTGGTAGATTTACACGTATTGTGGATTTGCTGTCCTAACAGCAGTTTGGAGCAATTACTATTGTTTCCTATACGATATCCTGTCCTTTTTCCTTACCTAAAGTAATAAGAAGTAATTAATGACTGTTGTTTTTAGTCTTCTGTAAGCCCATGACATGGAATATATTTTCCCTCATTTTTATTGAAATAGAATAAAATTATTTCCCCTTTGAAAGTTAAAAAAATTATATCCAAACATTCAGACAAAGGCTAAGAGATTTTTGAGATACAGCCGCTTAATGTCCAGTGGTTGAGTGCATAGCGTAATGGAGGATCACAATAATGAGAAAAATCTATTTCCTAATTACATTTTTTCTTTCATTTGTATTCCTTCCATAAGTCCTCTCCAATACTAATTTTCCGCCCTATGACTTGGTACAGTAATGCAAGTCCTCTTTATACTTTCGACATCCCATTTCTCTGATTCAGTATGCTGTAGAAGTTCCATGTTTTAATTGGAAAGCCCTTTTGAATCCTGAGGTATATAAGTGAGTAGTGGAATGGAGCCAGAGCTTGTGAAAAAATGCAGTTGGTTAATTTTCCAGGTAAATGTTTTCTTGCTGATACACTTCAGAGCAATTTCATGGTTTTTAAGTCCAGTTTGAGAGCACTCCCTGCTCATTATTGAGCCCAGTCCCCAGAGGCACTGTCACTCACCCCAATTTTAAGACGCGGAAAATGTCAAAACGTTTGTGGATGCACAACACACATGCATATATGCAGTACACACCAAAGCACGTCAGCTTTTTGACATCGCTAAGTGAAGGGAAAAAGACACGTTATGCCGGCCAAACATCCAGGATAGAAAGGTCTTTAGGCTTAATGCTGAGCGAGCCTGTAAAAGCCTGTACAACATATAATCATGTTGTTCTTTATTTTCTTATCTTACAGATTTAACATATCGCCCATTGAGTGCTAAAACGCAATAATTGACTGGTGGAACCAAATGAGTATAATGTTTGCCTCAATCCCTACTTTACATTTGTGTCTTATGGTAGATCTGGTGCTTGGGGAATGAGAGTCGGTACCATATCAATCGAACGGTCGATAGCTCCAGCTTATCTGTGATGATTCCAAGTCTGGCCCCTGGGATCCGCTACAGTGTGGAGGTAGCAGCAAGCACAAGCGCAGGGCCCGGGGTCAAGAGTGATATCACCTACTTCCAGCTTGGTAAGTTGAGATAACTTTTTTTTTTGCTCCCTCTTCCTAATAAAAAGCTTTCATTGAGTTTATTTCCCCCTCTGCAAATCCTTGCAATAAAATAAAGCTCAATCACCTCACAAATAATTATGTCATTAACCCATCCATTTCAAATAAGGAGCCTTTTCAGTAACGGGACCTTCTGCCAAGTATGAGACACTTATTTAATTCCCCTCTTTGTAGCAGCAGACATGATCAAGCCTCTACCTGTTTTTCCCTTTCATCATCAACACCTTATGCTTAAAAACTATAATTAGGTGACTGGTGTGATAAAACTTCATCTAACTTGCCACAGAGGAGTGTACGTTTGAATGAGAGGGTTTTTCCAGTGTTTCTGAAATGTCTTTTAGCTTGACAGCTAAAGCACATTATATTCCTGTGTGAGCCACGCCCTCCTTCTCCAGTTTATGGAATGTACCGCTTGTGTTTTATTCTTTTCGTCCAGATGGGCTACTATTTTTGTAATACGTTTGTCAGTTATTACTCCCCGAACTTGTGCGCTGGCCTACTAACGAGTGAGATGGAATAGCGAGATAAGGCAGAGAGAAAGAGAAACGGCTCCATTTGGTTTTCCATGTGTGATTGAGTGGGCCGGGATGGGCACGAAAAAGGCATTTGCAGTGACTGATACGATTTATCTCACTTGAAGAGCTCCTGTGGTGATTGTTGCCATGTACCAACACTGGAGTGGAACAATGTGCCTCGGGGATCGGCACTTCACCTAAACGCATTTGTCACACACTGAGCATCCCTGCTTAGATACCTGTACGCTCCCCTCGTGGGCTCCTGAGTCACATCGGTACGCTCGGTCCCCGCACCCACACGGAGGGAAAAATTTAGAAGACGTGAGCGGTCAAATGGAGACGTAGAATGGTAGATAAGAATGGCCACAACACGAAAGGCTCGAGAGAAGGAGATGAAGACAAAGTAACAAGAGCATCGAGAAATTTCAAAATGGCAGCGGGCGGGCGGGTGGAGTCAGAGAAATCTTTCACATCATATCTGACACGAGGAAGGAGCAGATGAGAAAAACAGATCAAGAGCAGGTTGCTGCGAGCGGCAGCATCTGCACAGAGTGTTTCACAGCGGTAACAGCTCCGAGGCATTCACGCCTCAGCCTTTCACAGTTTGCCTCAGTTTGCTAATTATTGTAGTGTCTGTCTTTGAGGACAATCTCTCTGGATTTGTTTATATGATTAGAGGACTGCCATTTATTGGTGTAAATGGTACCTCGTAGTGTTTCCTCTAATTTTCCATCAGCCTGTTTGGGTTGTACTGATTTTGTTTGGCTGCTTTAATCCACTCACCTGCCATTGTTGACTAGGATTTGTGATGAAAGCCTTTTGAATTATATAAATTCCATTATTTCTCAACCTTTCATTTACCTTAAAAAAACAAATATCTCTAAGCATCAAGAGATGATTATCTTATTTATTTAGTCTGGAGGCCTTATTTCTTTTATATATTCCTTTATTTCAGGTTTAAGCATTCCACTTTCATTTTCACTTCCTTATCCCTTTCCCAATGTCTTTATTTGATTGCTTGTCACAGTCTTCTACTCTTAAATTTCCTCCAATCCTTCCTTATCCTAAGATTCTTCTGGCCGAATGACGGAGACCGTGAGTCAGGAGAACCCCCTGTCCCAGCAGATTTCCGATGTGGTCAAACAGCCCGCCTTTATAGCCGGAATCGGGGCCGCTTGTTGGATTATCCTCATGGTGTTCAGTATTTGGTTGTACCGACACCGAAAGAAAAGGAACGGCCTCTCCAGCAGCTACGCAGGCATACGGAAAGGTCTGTACATTTTTTTTGGAGTGTTCCCAGGAAAGTTTGGAGTTTGAGATATTTGATTCACTGTGGCATGATGCTTTTTTTTCGTCAAATACTGTCAACCTACCTTACAACCTGCCTGATGCCTTGAAAGATTTCTTTGTAGAGCCTCTCGAGATGACGTCTAACAAACATGTTGTTCCTCTGAGTGCTTTAAGATGCAATGTGGGCTCATGCTTAAAGGGTCGCATGCCTTGTATTTCTTTTTCATACTTCTGTCATGCTCACTCTGTGAGGATGTGAAAAAGGGTTTTCAGTAAAGTACATTTTGAGGTCCAACAACTCCCTTCTGACTGTACTGGAAGTATAAATGTGCACCAACAATCCCTCTTGTTTGAGCTGCATTTAAAACCGAGTAGAGTAGCCATGGCTGTACCTCGATGACTTTTACCTGATTGAAGTTAAAGTGACAGAGTTCGTGACATCCGCGCGGTAGCTCAGCTACAAAGAAACCCATTAGCCTTTCCGTCTGAGCCTCATTTATGTGTGAACTGCTTTTATATGTGGCCTTGGGCTCTGCAGCTGGGAGCACAACCTGCCGCATCCCCACTCCTTGGCTCAGGCTTCAGGACTGATCGCCGGGTTTAGAGGAGATCCACCCTTCAGCCTTGATGCACAAACAATATACTGATTTAGCTTTTAATCTGTGGCTGTCACACTGAAAACACAGACTACTTATGTCCTCAGTCTTCCACAGCCATGGTTAATGGAAAATGTCAACCTCAACAAAGGTTTCCCGAAGCTCCATGCACATTTATAAATACCTGTGTGGTCTGTAACAGTTAGAACCACTCGTTTTTACTTATGTCTTAGATTACAGACAGCAGTAATGACCTGCGGTCAGGCGTGGGAGGATGATGTTGCCCCTTGTCCCTCTGTGATTCTATATGTTGATATTTACTCAGATAAGAAAAAGGGAGCTCTTTGGGGAAACAGTAGGTAGACATCCACCCTCCTTCTCAGACCACAAAAGGCCACAGTCTTTGTTGGAACTGGTAAAAAAGAATATTTTGAAAGAATATACAGTACTTGCAAACAAATGAATTAACAATGTTCACTTGTGGTGAAATAACTTACATTTAAACCCATACATTTTCTATTTTACCATCTACAAAAAGAAAATTCAATGACTACTTTTTATTTCCCTGACATTAAAGGAACTCTCTCCTCATGGGGGCTCTGCTCATGTATAAATGAGAACGATACATGCGACATTACAGGGAAAAAGAAACGGTTGAAGACTAGAATTCCTCAACATCCTATAACGTCAAAAGCAGAAATGACAGGATCTTGATGCAGAGTCATATCTCAGATACAGGTACATCTGGCCAGGGAATGGACAGCTGCAACATATCTGCTCCTCACAGGGAAGCCAGTTTATGTGTTTCGGTTACATTTCTCAGACTATTTTGGAAAAGTTAAGACGTGTGTGTCAGAGAGGGCAGCATGCATGTGGATTTGAGCTCCGGGTGTCTCTTGTAACATGACACTGTTAGATTCCATTTTGGTGTTTTATAACATGCCTTTTATATCAAAACTTTGTCTTTTTTTTCAACAGTGCCATCCTTCACTTTCACACCAACAGGTAAGCTGTTCATTTCATACACTTATAAAACAATTGTTTCAAAGGTCTCTGAGCATTAGTCCAAATACATTTGTTGCTGTTTAAGTATAAGTTGAGACAGATATTTTAAATGTTGTGAAATCAGCGAGGGGCACTTAGAGTCAGTCAATGAAAGAAAATACTAATGTACATTTATCTGGAAATAAATGCTTGTCAATTATTCATAAAGAAAAATAAAACATATTACAAAAGGGCTATTTAAACTGATAGTAACTCGATCAAAGACCTACTGGTAACTTCAGCTTAAATTTTAAAAAATGATATACCCCATACATTCCGGCAAACCAATTACACAGGAAGTGAAGCTTAACAGGCTATCTGTGAATAAAAAAAACATGAAACGTTAGCTGTCTTATTTTGCACATTTACACATGAGAGCTCTTGAAGAAAAATGAAACAAACCAAGGTGTAAAATTCATGTAAAAATATATTCTGTATCAATATTTACAGCAGCAACATAGTTTTATTCCATGCGCTTTTAGACTGTTGTTTCACGATGTAAATCTAGAAATTCTCTGCCCTACCTTATGCTGATTTCAATCTCAAAACAGACTGTGATGCATTCTCTGGGTACATAAATAAGTTCCACTTCCTGTTTTGAAAAAAAGATCAATGCAGCTAAAGCCCTTGTTCTCTCTCACCTGCTCTTCTCTCAGGGAAGCGATTGTAATTAAAGTTGGCGGTTTATCTTCCTTTCACATACTGTTAGCTTAGAGCTCCTTGAAAGAGTCAAACTTGCAGCACACAAAGCTTCAAAATCACAGAGCCCAAGCAAGCCAGACAAACAGAAATCTTTGTTCTTCATAAGCCTCTTATGCATCCTCTTCCTGCTCGAATTGCTTTGTCTGTGAGAGTGACTCAGCACAAACTATGCACACACACGTACATATATGCATATGTACTCAGAATATGTTCATTGGAAAACCTGCCTGCTTTTGACCCAGTTTGGTGGGTGTAAAGATGTTATGATGAGAGTATCTGCTTTGTCTTTTTTTCAGTTGCGTATCAGAGAGGAGGAGAAGGCGTCAGCAGTGCTGGAAGGTAAGAATTTGATTTGGAACTAATGGTAATAACTGGTATTAGTTTATGTTTTTACTATTTTTTGTCACATTCACATAATTCAACATGATTTTAAAATCATGATCATATATTGGAAAACTGAATGATAATCACATTACAATTTAAAAGAAATATGAAAAAAAAGAAAAGTCTGGATATCATCCTCCCCAAAGACGGTAAGGGTTGCACACGTGTACTTTTCTTTGACAAACACTAGGGGGAGAGCTGTGCCTTTCTAAAGAAGTAAAGGGCAAACTAGGGGTAAGGAGGTGCATTAACTATGTAATAAAACTCCAGGAACAAAGACCCATGTAGTCTGCCAGGAGCCCATCCTCATTACCTGTGGTGGAGAGCCACTTCTAACCACAAGGCTGTGCCATAGCATCACCAAAACACAGTAACCGATATGCAAACATGGACATGAAAGCAGAGGCACACCTCTTGTGGAATGTTGAATGGTGCATTGTTTAGAAACAGTCAGAGTGTACAGAGTTATGGCTTGTCAAAACTCATTTGTATATCTATGGCCTTTGGCATGTTGGTCTTTGAGCTGGTAAATGGAGAAAAACAATATATATACATTCCATTAATAACCTCTTTCTATTCAAGAGCACAAAATGTTAATGCAGCACTGTGTTAGTGTTTTCATGTGTTAATGAATAGTTAGCTTGAAGCCATCAACACAAATCCATATTCATTATATTACCCAGTTGTATGATTAAATCCTGTATGCAGTACGGCTGTGTCAGCTCTGCACAAAAACAATTGTTGTTCAGTATCAACATACAACTGCCGGGGTGATTGAAGAGCTATTGTGAGATTGTATTTGGTTGTACAAGACAAATGTGTTCATTACCCGAAATGAATCCAAGATATGAGTCATTTAGGGGGGAACGAGGAAATGTATTTCAATGCTGGGATATGCAGACTGGGAGTCATTCTGTGCAGATTTGAATGTTGAAACTATACATGTTCTACCAGTAGTAGTCTGCCTTTTCCATTATATCAAAATAGGAAAAATTCGACTTTGCTCCTTTTTGCCCCTACAAAGTGTTTTGCTTAAAATCAGGTTAAACAGTATAATTCTGTTATACTATTGATTTTGCACTAAGGAAAACCTAAGACGGATCAAAGATGTACAGTATGCCCATCCAAAGATCTTTAAGGTTTTTCCTTAGTATAGAAGCATGCCCATCCCCTGCCTTTTTCATGTACAGTTAACAAACCTTTAAATGAAAGAACTATTGTGTAACACCATGGAATCTTCTCAGGATTTTCTTGCGGTTCACTGACTGTTCATGATGTGCATTTTGCAACTCTGGGAGTGAATTTTATCTGGCTGTCTAATCCAGGCTGATCGCAAATGCTCACAAGTGTTCAGAGAAAGTGTCATCAGCTCTGGGCGAGTCTAGTACACACGATCTATTTGGCTGGCTTTTTTCTTCTTTCTTTTTTTTTTTTTTTCTAATATGCTGGTTTGCCATATGTTTGGCCAAAAGGCAAAAAGTATTAAAGCCGGATTTTCAGTTTTCCTCTTTTCAGCTGGATAAATAAACTCCACATAATCTTCTCTTTCAAATACTTTTCCTGCGGGTGTTTTTAGTTCATTCACATAAATGTCACTGCGGTGTTGGCTTAGCCTCTCGCTATTGTCAAACATTTGGTTTAATTTTTTTACAGGCCCGGTTTGCTTAACATTGGGGACTCTGCCACTCAACCCTGGCTGGCTGACACATGGCCTAACTCCTGCTCCAACCACAACGACTGCAGCATCAACTGCTGCACTGCAGGGAATGGCAACAGCGACAGCAATTTGGCGACTTACAGCCGACCAGGTACGAGCATGTCGTGTCATCCCTGCAACATGTGTAGGCAGCAGCCAAAATAAACACTCTCCTCAAAGGCAGTGTTGCGGTCCTTTGACAAAATATCTTTAGAGATGAAAAATGTCGGAGCTGGGGGAATCTGCGGTGAAAAAAAACAAAGTAAAATCTGATATCTAGGTTAGCTCCCCGGAGAGTTGTGTGCATCTCTCACTTCGCTAGGTCTACACAAGAATAAATATATAAAATAATCCTGGAGAAATATTGGGATTAAGAGTGGCTGTGTGTTTGTGGGTCTCAGTTATTTAAGGTTGAAGTAGAACTGTTTTAGGCAGGAAATAAAAGGAGTACACTAAGCAGGGCTTATAGCTCAACTCCGTTGCTAATCAAATTGCTGTGCTGATTTCCATACAGTTGTTATAGCTGGTAATGTAATTTCCCCTAAGTGCTCAGTTGTTTAAGAAATGGGCAGCGGGCAAAGGGGTCAATGCTGGACTGCAGATGGCCAGAAGCAAGGGAAGAGACAATGACGAAAGCATAGGGGTACACCTGGAGGGGAGAAAGGAGCGATCAAGGAAAAGCACAAGATAAATAAATAAATTAAAAGAAAAAAGCTAAACTCAGATCTACGATCAGACTAGGCACTAGATAAAGGATAGCAAGGAATCACACGTTTTTTTTAAATTCACCATAGTTATCAACAAACTGAAGAAAATTTGGTGTTAAATCTCACACATCTCAGCTATAAACTCTACACACTATACACAGAGAACGAGCCGAATTTGTAGCCTGGATTACAGAACCTAATGTCATTCATTTCCAGCTATGACCAAACTTAACTGCGGAAACTTGGACCGCAATGAAATGCTTTATGTTTTAAATGATGCACTTTGGGGCTATGACTTTCATAGCAGTATATAATTCCTATCCAGCTGTTCAACCTACCATCAATTCATCCACTCAATAGTTTTACCTCATTTCCAACCCCTCCCAGTGAGGATTAATAATTCATTTTGCAGACCGTATAGTCAAGTTTAGTTTTTCTTTGTGCTAATCACCCCTCTGAGGTTGTACCGTGGTATGAGATGTTTAACAGAGAATAACAGGCTAAAGGCACCCGTCACTGTTTGCATGAAACGCCACTATATGAAACTAAGGAGCTTGCCAGTCGCATGCTTTGTGTCTTTGCCAAAACTAAACTCCGGGAACATTAAGAGGATCACTGACTAGGTGACAGAGCAAAGAAATAGGAGTTAATGTTCCTTTATCTCAGCCAAAGGGGTGCTTTCAAACATCGCTCTTTGAAGTGTTGAGCTGTTTCATGCAACTGAAACATGAGGGAAGTGGCATGTGCATCATGTACCTATGGCCGTCTTTGGTATATACCGCAAGGTAGGCTCTCAGATCTGCAGGAGGATTTAAATATTTTATGAGCCAGAGAAAATTGGATCCGTCAGTGAAGCCGGGCTTTTGCTGCGTGCCTCATTCAAAGTCTTTGATACAGGCATGTCTCCCTGTCCCTCTCAATGAGCAAAGCTGCGCCCACCATCAGTTGGAAAGGAATAAATGAAAGCCCTCAGAATCATCGGTGAGACAAAGCAAAAAGGTGCTGCTCAGAAGTATCGCCCACCCCTTAGATTGACCGTTTCTGGTAGCTCTGTTGCAAGCCTCAGAATTGTTTTCCAAATGTCTGACGTGTGGGCAGTGATCATTAAAAGCATGAAGTGAAATGTGTTATTTGTAATCTTCTGAAAAATTGGCTTGCTGCTGCTAGGCCGATCGGCAGTGGGAAGCATTGACTAAATACCCTCCTCGTATTCTCCAGCCGACTGTATCGCCAATTATAACAACCAGATGGATAACAAGCAGACCAACCTCATGGTGCCAGAGTCAGGAGTCTATGGAGATGTAGACCTGTCCAACAAGATCAATGAGATGAAGACCTTCAACAGCCCAAACCTAAAAGATGGCCGTTTCGTTGGTCCAGGGGGCCAGCCAACACCTTACGCCACTACGCAGCTTATCCAGTCCTCCATCATGAGTAACAACATCAACTCAGACAGAGGGACTGGAGGGAGTGGGAGTATGCTCGGGGGTGGAGGAGAAGTGAATGAGAAACACTGCTGGAAGCCCACCTCGGTCCAGCAGCAGAAACAGGAAATGGGATCTCAGCTGCAGTACAACATTATGGAACAAAACAAGCTGAACAAGGGTGAGTGTGGAATAACCAGCAGCTGTGGCTGGAGAGGTCACCTCCGAGCCATGATCTTCCTCCACTTGATTTCCCCCTCTGTTCTCGCCTCTCTTGGCCCTTTCAGCCTCATTGTGGATTCCCTTAGAAGAGTTTCACCCTCATTCCCCCCCTGGCACTGTCTCATCCTTTTCAGTCAGCAAAGACACCATCACTCTTTTTCTTTCTGCTTGTCTGTATGGCATTCATTAGACCCTTCATCACCCTCCATGCAGATTTGTGCCTTTAAATCTGGACCACGATACCAGGAATGTTCTGGACAACTCTCAAAGATCTTTGAAAGATACTGTCATTACCTTGTCATACCTACTGATGGGAACTGTATCTGTTGCACTAGTTCTAACATTTTTGTGCAGATGTTGCATGTTTTCCATACTCACCTTACAATTGTAAAGCCCATGCCTCTTTACATGTCTATCTTTACAGAGTGATACCATTTCAATGAGTAGATTTTTCCATTTTCATGTCCCGACTTGTCCTTCATACCAGGGATCATGACACAATAAATGCATTGTTTGAAACTTCTTATTTGGCCGAGATGTCTGCCTTGGGCCGCAGCTAATCATACACTGCCCTTTTCTCACCACAGACCGCTACAGAGGAGGTGACAGTCCTATGCCAGCCACCATCCCCTACAACCAGACCCATGACAGCCACACTGGGGGCTCCTACAACAGCTCTGACAGAGGCAGCAGTAGCACCTCCGGTAAAAAAAAACTCAAGTCATTTAGAGCCATTCCATGATGGGCAGCCAGAGCTAAAACACAACAAAAAATGTCGAAATACTGTTGTTGTTTAGAACCTAATCAAACGTCTAAATACAAACGATGGCTTAAATGGATAAAAAAAACAAAATGGTAGATAAATAGATAAAAAATGAAGATGGAGGTGAAAAAGTACTGTCAATAAAGGCTTTGGTTCCACCTTAAGACATTAAAAGCTAAGTTAAAAGCTTATTATAGATGAAAGTGCCTGTGTAATTTATTATTTATGCTTTTTGTTTTCAGACTTTGTATTAAGTTTGCCCTTGCGTATTTTGCATTAATCACATTAACTGGTTTACTTCAATTCCAGTGAAGAGCAGCCTAATTTCATCAGGATCCAATGTCTGTCTGTGGACAAGGACAAATGATTACACACTGCAGACGGCATGCAACACTGCCACCTTAATGCCATGTATCCATTCTGATATTGCATTTGAAGTTCAAGCCATTAAGGAGAGGCCTTTGGTGCTTGCTTCACATCACAGCTCATTGGTTCACAATTTTAATAGTGTGGCGTTAATTGAACAGTTCATTGCATTTTTTTTTACTCTGCTGTGTGAGTGAGTATCAACGAAGGAAGCTGGTGGAAAAAAAATCTCCTACCATTTATTAAGGGAGAGGCACATACATGCTGACAAAGAGGAGGGCTGCAATGGCCTCTGCACTGTCACATGTAAAAAAAAAATGAAAAAATGTCAGCCTTGTTACTGTTAATTTGAACTGCTGTCAATTCCTGTCATGTCACATTGCTGTTTCCTCAGCATCAATAATTGATGTCTTTCAGACGTACAAAAGCTTTTGTATCCGAAAACATCTCGTAACTGAATGAGTGTCCTTTTTGTGTTTTTGAGCAGGGAGTCAGGGTCATAAGAAGGGAGTGCGCACCCCCAAACTACCCAAACAAAGCACAATGAATTGGGCTGACCTTCTGCCCCCTCCGCCTGCGAACCCACCCCCCACTCGGAACACGGAGGAGTACACTCTATCAATGGAGGAAAGGTAGATGCAGACAATCTGACTGGCATACGCTGTATTTAAATACATGTATTTTCTCCTTATTTCCCCCCTGTTTATTGCATTCATTTTAAGTATTGGCCTCGGGCCTTTTCTGTCTATTAGTGCTAAGGTTCATGCTAAACCGCGATAGAAGGATGGCATGAATATGGAGCGAATGCTTTCCTGCCCTCGGTGTATAAAAACATTTCATTTCACTGAATGATATTCAGCTAACGAGGCATGTTTGTGGCTGCTGGCAGATGTGATGCAGATATGCAGTGCCCCATGCCCCCCTCCCACATGTACCTGCAGCCTGATGAGCTGGAGGAGGAAGAGGAGATGGAGAGGGGGCCCACCCCTCCCGTCCGTGGAGCAGCCTCGTCTCCCGCCGCCGTATCCTACAGCCACCAGTCCACAGCCACTCTCACCCCGTCCCCCCAGGAGGAGATGCAGCCAATGCTCCAGGATGCACCTGACAGCCATGAGCGCAGGTACATCCACTTTTTTTTTACTCAGGTGCTGTCAGACCGTGCGCTTACATCCAGGAAATGTCTTTTTTAACCCCCACAGCACAGTATGCCTGTCAACGTCTTTGAAATCCCCATCTTTCATGACTGAGCCCATTAACTCCAAATTCTGTATATTGTACTGTCAGGTAGCTTTCAAAAGCATGTCTTTGGGAGGAATTCCTCTCTTCTAGTGAGTCGTTTATTGCGGTTCACTTCAGCGCAGGATAAAAAAAAGATACTGACAGCACATTTCTGCTTCCTCGCAGGCGCCATGTTGCGAGCCCCCCACCCCCACCGAGACCCATTTCCCCCTCACACACTTATGGGTACATCAGCAGTCCACTGGCTGTGGACACCGATGGTATGGAGGAAGACATGTTGGAGGAGGAAGAGGACGGTGACGAGACGGACGCGGAGGTGGCCAAGATGCACTACCACCACACGCACCCGCACCACCCCCAGACACACGCGCGGAGGTTGCTACTACGAGGGCTCGAACAAACGCCCGCGTCCAGCATGGGCGACTTGGAGAGCTCAGTGACGGGCTCCATGATCAACGGATGGGGCTCCGCTTCTGAAGAAGATAATGTCTCTTCGGGGAGGTCCAGCGCCGTCAGCTCTTCGGACGGATCCTTCTTCACGGACGCCGACTTTGCTCAAGCGGTAGCTGCAGCTGCAGAGTATTCAGGCCTTAGGGTGGGGAAATATCCTAATTCACAGGGCCAGGAAGTAGGGGGAGCTTCAGGTAAAGCCAGAAACCCTCATAAGGAGATGTTCATTTAAGAATATTTCATGAATTGGAAAAAAAACAAAACAACAACTTTTGCTCCATTTCTTTTCCCCAGCACGAAAATACCAAATAAACCAGTCAGGCCACCGTCCTGGCAGCCCGGTGTCTACAGACAGTAATATGAGTAGTATGGCAGCTATACACAGGAGGCCTCCGAAAAAGCAAAAACAGCATCCTGCAGCTCATCCGGGAAGCCAGCGACGTGACGCCTTCAATGAAGGTATGCATTTGCATTAGTTCAGCACTCATGGTGGTTTATGTCGATTCCTCCCCATGTAACACATACATATGAAGTTAAAGTTAAGAAGGCATATTGATTTCTTACACCAGCTGTATGGATCGTAATTAGTCTATTAATAGCTTAATAAATTATTAGGAGTACATAGAGTCTTGCAACTTGAATTTTGGAACGTGAATTATTCTAACACTAGAAGTTTCAGCAAAGAGCAAATATTTCATGAGGGTTTAATGTAGGAGACATAGCTATGTGCAGTCTCTTTTTACCGACTATACTATTGCATCAACAGTTCGTATGTCCTGCTGCTGATCACGGGTAGTCAGGATATGTTGGCTGGAAAATGAACCCATGCAAAGTGCACATTTTTTAGGACACAGGAGAAACAGTGATTCACGGTGAACTGCAAAAGTTAGGCCACATAAAGCTGGCTAAAAGGCATTTGCTCAGGAATAGCTTTTAGCTTTGCGCCTTATCAGAAGTCATATCTGTGTGCTTTCAGCTGTTATACAGCACATACTGCTTAGTACTGAACACAGCTCTGTTTAAAAAATAACTACACTCCCTTTAAGTATTAAAGAATGTAGATATTATACCATTTGCTCTCTCTGCTTAAAGACAAAACTAAAACTGGGATACTCACAGGTTGTTCTGTGAAGTAATTTGGGACTTACTGAGTGTATTGTTACATATTATGATGTAAAGAAGAATTGGAAAGTTCAAATATTTTTTTACGGCCTGGAACTAGTTCTGTGTCTGTTTTTGGACTTCAGCCTGGAGTTAGTCCTGCATGTTCATGCATGAAAAGTTTTTGATTGAGTAAATGCATAAAATACAAGTGGTGGATTCTCCAGTTTCACATTGGACCGCTTTCTGGAGTGTGACTGAACCTCCATGACATGCTTTCACTTTAAAAGCCAACACACAGAGAGACTGGAGAGAAGGGCAGCTTAGTTTTATCCCACTGCTACACAGATGGCCGGTTTGTGTCACTTGCTTTCCCCGAATTTCTCGTTAAGATATGGAAGGGGAGAGTGCAGTTGGTGACATAGTGTCTGCCCAGTTAACAGGCAAGGCTCACAGTGTGGGAACATTGTGAGCCAAACTTTTAATCTTCCTCCCTGATATGTTTATTCTAATGCATACATGGCATCTCTTCCAATCTGTGGCAGTGCTAAACGGGGCTAGTGGCGGGCTGGAATCCAACCCTATGCTGGGAAGGTATGGGGGGGCTGGCAGTCTCAGGAGAACCCTCCAATGCTTGGCAATTTTGACACTGATATGTCTCTTCACTTAAGCCACTAATAAAATTGATCCCGGTGCTTTGAAGAGCCACCAATCACAACAGAAGCCAAACATAGACCAAACAGGCTAAATACTAGAACAGCTATACACAGAAGAAAAGTATTTGACCCTGCCAAGTAAAGAGAAACTGACTTTTGACGATATCACGTTTAGATACTGAAAGCATTCAACGGGAAGCCTCCTTTTTCCCTGTTTCATCTCTACTTTGATCTTGTAACGGTAATTTTTTAAAAATTGTGTCTGTGTTGGAGAGTGTGCTCGCTCTCGGGAGTGTGGAGTGTGCGCTCTCCCAGAGCTGGCTCTCCTCTTAGTGTCAGGTGTCCTTGAGTGTTGGAAGCACTTGACAGGGGAGATTTAATATCCAGCTCACTGGGAGCCAGACCAGCTATATCACCGCAGAATATCCAGCCAACCCCCCCCAGCATACTCCACACCCAGTCCTCCTGCCATCACCCTTATATCTTGGCCTCCTCCCTGTCCTCTGTCCCTCCCTTTGGAGTGATCGCTCCATCCTACTTCCCTTTCTCCTCGTCTGTTCTCTCTCCTTCGTCTTTGTTTGAGCGGGGAGGGGTCAGACTGACAGCTCCACAGTTCGGTCTATCAGTGCTCTTGCTGATTGCATTTGATCTGAATGGATTGTTTTTCATTTGGAGGTTATTGCCTCCCCCTGCCCCCACCATCCCCATCGTACATACTCCGTCTGTGGTCTGGAATACTACCGCTGAGATGATAGGTGAAAGAAGGTGATGATATTTGGGGAAATAGCAGTGTTTCTTAGAACAAATATAAGTACTCTAATACAATTATTTAGTCTGTTTTGTGCCAAACAGATAAAATAGAAGCTCGATACGGAGAGAAAATAGAAACAGCGAGCAGAAACCGAGGGGGAAGTCACGTTTATTTGTATAGCACATTGTGTGTCCGAGACAATTTAAAGGGTATTACTCCACTAGCACAATGATGTGAGCTGTCAGGAACACTGGAAAGTGAGAGAACCTTCCAACTGTTTACCCCTCTGAGAGCCATTTCATTCTTGTCTTTGCACAGTGTGTGTGGATATACTCAACTAAACTTTTTTTTCTACCTCGATTCATATTCTGTTTGACTCTAGTTTCTTTGTCCACCCGCTAACAACAAACCTAAACAAACCTAAACTAATTAAGATCAAGGTCCTGAGATTCATCCTCCTTGGCAAGCGCAGAGACACTCTGCAGATCTGAGCTCCGTCCTCGCCGATATTTCCCCATAAATCTAACAGGCGCTGGTCCTCCCTCGTAGAGAGCTATAGCTCAGAGACTGTGGCATTGATCGGACACTGACTGAAGCTCGGCTCGGCAGGCAAGGCAGTTATTAAAAAACTGCAGACGCCTCTCTGCTGTATGATATTGACTGCTCCTCTTTGGTATTCAGGGAGGGGAGGGTTTAAGAGGGAGGATAAACAGAAAAATCTACTGAAGCTTTCTCTTTCAAACAACAAGATAAAGTAGTCATTTGTGCTCCATCTGTCTTTCCAAAAGTCCAGTTTTGTCAAATCTTTAAAGTCTTTGAGGTTAGCCTCTGGGATCGAGCCAAGTGAAAAAGGTGTCACTCGCTATATTTATTAACTTTTGAATCCTATGTAGTTTATATGCCTTGCTACTAACAAAACCATCTTTCAGGGTGGAAGCTGATTAGATGATGAAAAGCCATTGATCGAAAACCAACAAGGCTTTTCGCACACGTTTTGTTTAGATGGCCATTCGAGAGGCCAGGCGGCCCACTGGCCGGTCTCTTATGAATAATGGCTCAAGGACAAGTAGCATTGATTCATCGACATGGAAAGTCAAGAAGGCCAGAGAGCCAGATGCTGACCATCACACTCCCCTCGAATCAGCCGCAGTCAGCCTCACATGATCCTTGTCCAGAGGAGTTTCCGGCCAGCCTAACTGTGTATAGCCGTGTGTAAACACAAACCACAGCTGTGTTTGTACTTATCTTTAAAAGTGTGAGACAACCCGAGGGGCAGATGATGCAAATAGAAGTTTCAGGGGTTTATAGATACATTTTCATTTGTCTGTTGCTTCTTTTGTTTATTCATCAGATCTCCCTCCACCCCCCATTCCACCTCCAGCAGTCCTTAAATCGCCAACACATCCTGCCAAGGCTGCTCTGGAGGGCCGGGGGGTCATCTCCCCCAAAGCGGGAGAGGGTCGAGACAAGCGTGGAGGGGCCGGTGCCTACCGGCCACAGGAGGGTTCTGACCCCAGAACCAGCTCGTCTGAACGCAAAGACGCTCAGGACAGACATAAAACCGGAGGGAAAGGGAATAAATACGAGGGCAGCTCTGCCAACAAGGCCCGGCAGCATGCAGGTACCTCCACAGTTTGGAACTTCTCATTCCCAAAGACTATTTTGAGTCTTAAGCCCTTCAACTGTTCTCTCCCCCCTAGGTTCAGAGGACATTTTGCCCTATAGCCGACCTCAGTTCCCCAGCATCAACAGCCCCAGAGACCCAAGTTCTTCAAGCTCCATGTCCTCCAGGGGTTCAGGGGGCCGGCGGAGAGGGGAAGGCGGCCGAAGGAACCCCGCAGACATCAGTCTCAACAGCTCCGGAGCCTTTCAGCAAGGAGATGAAGACCTAGAGGTGAAGTCAGATCTAACTCTAGCATAAAGTAGTGGTATGGTGTCCTGTCTCATCAATTGGGCTCATTTCTCATACATGTCCTTGCTGGTTTTGGGACACATTCTGTTGCTGAGAACAAGAATGTATAATCTACCCAGTGATATGGTCCAGGCTTTTTACCAGCATTTACACAGATACGGATCCATCTGCAGTGAGTCCGTATTGGCCAGGATGAATTCTAAATGCAATGTTTTTTTTGTTTTTTTGTGTGTTTTTTTTACCCAGATGGTAGAAAGCTGAAGACCAGATGAGGAGGAGGAAGAACTGATACAGGTTTCCAAGAGTGGAGTACCATAGTTCTCTCATAATTTTAAATATCTCAGTATTTCCCCATCATGTCGGCTGCCATTATACTGTACATCAAGTGTTTCTTTACATCCAGAAAACAGACCAATTTTTTTTTTGTTTATTTCTAACTTATCATTTTCTATGTCCATAAAAATAAAAAAGTGACAATAAAAGAGTGATGCATCCAAAACAAAATAAGCAGTGGTATATTTATGTTCAATTCCAATGCAATATGCAGTCAAATCCTTCTCCAGACATTGACATAACTGAGCTTGCCTGATCAAGAACTATGGAGAGGCCATACAACGAGATGTTACTGCTGCAAGCAGAGGGGGGGTGAACTGTCTGTAAATATGTGTCTACATCATGTTTTACCCATTGTGGTACCTCAAGGTTGTCTTCCTTGTTCTTATTTTGCAGATTCTAATTTTATTATGCCAGTAAATTTAATTATTGTATCAATTCCATTCATGTTGTAAATTGCTATATTATTTGTTCCCCCAAGAAAGTGCCACTTTGGGTTTGTTTCTGTTTTTGTTTTCCTTTTTGTTTTTTGTAATGCACTGTTATGTTCTGTATTGTCAACATGTTTATTTGTTTTACTTTGGTTTTAAAAGCACAATCACTAAACTTTATTTTAAACCATTCTATCTATTAACCTTTTTGTCTTACTGGAAGAAAAAAAGGTATGACAAGAGTCTAGTTAATCCTGATGATGATGATGTAGGTAAAGGTTGTTGTTTACGAAGGCTGTGCTTGAAAGGAGACTCCTTCCGTTGTGATTGTCTCCCTCTCCAGTTCTGACACTAGCTAAAGTGATGACAAAGCCAGTTAATGTGAGTCATAGCTGCAATGTAAATATCCTTTTCACAATGACCATAAACTCAGCTATCGCACATTAATTGAAATGGTTGTGTTGCCTACAAATGCACTTAAATGAATGTCAAACACAGGAAACATGTCACTTTGGGAGCCTGGAGAGGTTGTAATTGGACAAGAAGAGTCTCTTTTCTTGATACAAAAGGGCTGACGAAGCCCGCTTTTAAGGAGTAAGGGTGCTGTTGTTTATTCATAGGACATCTGCAAACATTTGTTTCGTAAATCAAAAAAACAAAACAAAAAAAGATGAATTAAAAAAGGTTCAAACCAAATTTTCCTTTTGTCATTTGTCATCATTTCCTCAAAAAGCCATGTGTTACTTAGGTCACGACAACTTTTCTATCCTGTCTTGTCACACTCAATCCAGAGCCTGTTCAGTCAGACTAAAGATAAATGTTTTCAGCCACTTAAACAGAGTCTGGTTGCCATGACAGCCCACACATTCTTTCCCTATCAGCATTTCCATTTATTCCTACATGATCTTGAGCAGTTCAATGGGATAAAGGAAAATGGGCCTGATGTTTTTGTTAGATTTTTTGGTCGCACAACTAATACTGTGCTCAATTCATTATTTAAGACTGCTAATAGGATTTGTCGGTACAGTACAAATACAGCAGAGCTATCAATTTTTTCCCAATAATTTTTGAGAAGGATCATTACCCACAACTGCAAGGTGGACAAAAACGAAACTTTGCGATTGAAAATAATGTATTCAATTCATAGTGTTGAAATACAGTAATAGAAAAGCTTCTTGACAATGTTCAGTTTCATTGAATGCATTGCAGCATAATTGGAAATATTATTACCACGAAAGATCGCAATGTACTTCTCTGCTGTCAAGGAGAGGACCGTCAACATCTTTGACACGGTGGTTCAACAGCCCCGGTGGCTATTCAGACACATCACCCGATGCCACCTCCATTAGTTTCCTCTATTACTCACAATATCAGCATGTAATGCCAATCAGTGAAGGTATTTGGAGAATAAAACCAACAGTCAGGGGACTGTATTCAATTTGACAGGAAGAGATTGCTGCCGATTAGGCGTAAGGAAGGTTATATAAACGAAAAGGTGCGGTACTTTATTTCATTGGTCATCACATGGACGCTGGAGGGGGGGCTGCTGACGTGACAAAACAAAATAGCCATTAAATCAGCAGATTACACACTCGCCACCATCTCACTCCAGACAAGGACTTATCCTAATTGGACACTGAAATACATTTGTTCCAGTTTATTGCATCTAACCTGCGCACTGCTTCTTCTCACAGAGGCAATAACCTGGCCAATGGGAGCTCAGAGAGCCAAACACTGCTCTACCTGATTTGTGAAAACTTGGACCACGAACAGAGACGTTCACCGTTCATGGCGGCGGATGGGTTTTTTGCATGATCTATTTGAAATCTTCTTTTCAGCATTATGTGATCGATCTGAACCTAATTTGCACTGGGATTGAATGTTTTCGGAAACAACATTTCCATAAGTTTCTGCGATGTTTTCATAATTGCAGATGTAGTTTCTGAACACCCATCTCCTTCCTCCTCCACCTCCTCCTCAGCAGCAGCACTCAGAGCTCCCTTCCCCCTTCCATTCCCTCAGGTGTTCTCTAATAGGCACCTTTCTAAACATGAACAAATTTGAAATGGGAGGGGGACACACTCCCTTATGGCTTCATCCATCATTTTAATGAGTGGGGGTGTGTCCTGGCCCCTCAATGAGATGCAGGCGATTAAGGATATTAAGCGGATACACTAGCAGCCGGGGTTATTCACCCCATAGTAAAATGAATATTCACAATGAGGCCAGATGGCATTTAGTCTGAGTTTAGAGGCTAGTCTACCTGAGAGCTGAGGAGAAGGGCTTTGCAGTTTACTGGAATTCCTATAGCCAAAGAGAAGGTCAAGAATGTGTGTTTTAGAATAGTTCTCATAAAACACGCATTTGAGCTAGTGATATTTTGGTGTATGCACCAGTAATCTGATCAAATATTTATATAGTAATATAAATATATACATATATGTATTTATATATGGGTTTCTTATACCTCTAAAAGTTGCTCAATATCAGATCAATTGCAAGGCAGCTCAACAATTTCAAATATGCATGGTCCTGGCTTTTAAAAGGACTTTTAACGGTTCACTTGTTGTTCAGCTACTATTACTACAAGATATGATGCAGATAAAAACAAAAAATCTAAAATTAAGAAATAAAATGTTCATTTCAATTGCATTTTTTACTTAAAACAAAGCAATCTGTCATGTTTAATTGTCATGAAACATGATTTTGAAACTACATTTTGTCATTACTCGCTAACTATTTGTTTTTCATAATAAACATAAACTGTGATTTTGGTCTTATCATCAACAGTGATTCTTACTGCACTGCTGACTAAACAAAAAGACAAACAAATTACATCATTTTTTTCTACAATTTGTTGCTTTCAACAAAATTCCTCACAGCTGATTAAGTATATATGCAGATGAGGACAATGATGGAAAGAATAACTTGCTTCTTCTAAGGAATTAACTTCACGGACACAGAAAGTACTAATGTGCCATTGACAGAATGAGGCCTAATTACCCTGCATAAGAAATATGTAAATCAGGTAAAAATCTATGAAGCACACTAACCTCTTCTCCCCTTTACTTTATTCCTGCAGTGTTTCAGCTTTTGCAATCAATAATCTAAACTGCTGTTGCTTTCAACTCTGTCCCGCCAGCCTAAAAACTAATTTCTTTTGTGCACATTCAGGGTGTCTCATTTTCTGATCAACAAACTGCTTCATTAACCTCCTTCCCATGCTAGAAGGTAATTAAGTGAACAGCTGTGCAGTGGCTGATAACTCATCTTACTGTCGCAACCCTCTGTGGGAACCCGTCATCACAGGTGCAGTGTTTAGACGGCTCCCCGGCACCCCTCCACACTCATTTACAGTACAGCTGTCAAATGCCACCCCCTTCAAAACAATCAGTCAGAAATGATTTAGATTCACCAGCCAGCTCATCATGATTTCCCATCATTACCAAAAGTTGTTTCCAATCAGCGCGGAAACACTTGAGCTTGTTTAAACTTGTGAAAACAGGACTGGAAATTGTTCTTGTAAAAAGAGGGTGTCAGTGGAGAGAGCGCCTGTCATTCCGAGTGCCGGCGAGTGGAAGCCAGCCAAAGTTTTCTTTAATAACTGAGAAGTAATCTGGATGATTTGTACATCCATTTGTCACTTAGCCAGTCATTCTAACCGTCCTTATTTAGTGCCTGTGGGGCCTGTACAATTAACCCAGAGAAGAGCAGGCTCCTTACACGGTCCTCCCAATTCTTCCCTCGCTCAGCAATTTCCTGGCTCCGCTTGGCTGTAAACTAATCTGGAAGCTGATCTCACCATCTAAAATTTAGTATAACCAATAAATTGTGGTCTTTATCAAAGTGCTTATCATGATTATTAATACTGTTATAAGCCAACAGTTTAGTTGGACTCATTCAGCGATGCATTAGTTAAAGTAAAATGTTCAGAACATTAAACAGAACGCTTCAATGGAAACGGCCTCACACAGCAAAGTCACCAGATGAAAATGGTAAACAGTGTGACAGAAAAATGGGACAGGATTCTGCCAGCTGGCAGAATTTATCATCTCAAAGAGAAACCTCATTAGTCCATTGTTATTTTCAAAAGAGCAGCATAAAACTAATGCAGAACAATGGCAAAAAAGAAATAGAAACTAGAACTGAAATATTCTCTCTTTGTGTGGATTCTAAAACCATAGGGGCTGAGGAACCCGGTTTCTATTGAGTGTTTTGGTTGTCAAGGTCTCCGAGCCATCCACTGGTTCCTTTTCAAATACGGATATGACTGTCAAAATCGTCTCCTCACATAAAAACCTATGACCAAATTCTGTCACAGAGCTAATTTCTCATTCAAACAAAAGAGCCTGGCATTTGGACAAATCATTTTTGACTACCATCAGGATGGGACTGCGCAGCATTGGTAGATCCAATGTGGAGAACAGATGAAATCAGACGCCAAGACAAGCTACAAAGAAAAGTTAGTCTGTGCTGGCAGCCACTCAGTCAGACGTGGCCCACTGAATCGTTATAGATTCCACCCCATGTGGTCATGGAAAATCTAGCTCCTGTCTGGTCCATTCCTGTTGAAGACAAGCACTATTTTCCCATCATGTTTTGTTATTATGTATTTGTATTTATTCCCAGTGGATTCCCAACTACTCTCCTGCCTAATACTACCTCTATTACACATCTGGGTAAGCTAATTAAAACCTCTCCTACCGAGGCAAAAACAGAGCGGGCGTGCCGTTTTACTGCCACCCACTCATTCCGTGGTGAATTAAAAAATGTTGGATATTAAGGCTTTCATCATTGTTAAGGTGTTTGCTCGCCCAGTAGCGACAATATTGAAATAACCCTTTAACCCCCGTGAGGCACCTCCCCAAGTTTAGGCATGCCAAATGCAAAACATGCAATCACGGCACTCAGAAAAGCAACTTGTTTTCATAACAGCATCAACGCGCCAGCTCAGGACCAATTATGGGGGTTAGATGTAAATGATAACGGACAAAAGACATGTCAGCGTTTGATGTTCACGTGGGCCAGCATAATGGAAATAAATTACGGTGTGTTCTTTTTTCTAAGTCAAATGGCCGGGGGGGCAATTGGGGATGTGAATGGCAGGTGTTTTTCAGGCGGTGATAGATGGGAGGTGAGGACAAGGGTGAGCAAGCTGCAGAGGTGTAACAGGGAGGGGAAGAACGTGTCGCTGGAGTTTGGAAGCCTTTGGGTTCAGCCTTCGTTTTCCCCTCTCTCCCCCTCCATATTTCCATCGCTGACAGCCTGAGCGGTGGAGATGAGACGTGGATTCATCACACTTTGTGTGGCCTTGAGGCTTTTTTTTTCTCCTCACATGAGATGGCTGATTTGCTTGTGTTGGCATCTCAACCTGTTGTTTTACAGGCTTGGCCCTGCTTCTTGTTTTTATGATGTCGACCCACTTGAGAGCACATTCTCACACCTCCATTTATTTAACTGCGATGTGTTTGAATTTTTTCCAAATTATTCCGGGCAGATAATGTTTGTGATTGCTAACGATCTACATCTTGTGACTGGCCCGAGGTTGTCCATTATTTGGTGGAGGTGTATTTTTAGATCATGTCCGGAGCTTGTTCCATCGATTATTATTTTTCTCCCTTTCAAAAAAAGACTAATGAGCCCACTGAATTTCACCAGAAAGGTTAATACAATATTGAAATGTCAGGAGATTAATG